GCAATCGCAGATGTGGTTAACATCTGTAAATCCATAGTCCGCTGCCCCACCCACCACTCTGCAGAACATTTTGTAGAACTAATGGTTCTGTCAAGCCCTGGCTAGTACCAGAATACTCATCCAAAATGGCACTCCATTCAATTCCCTACTGTTAAGAACGGTTAGTTCCTCGCTCAGCAAGCATGGCTTCTTCCTGTTTCTTTTCATCAAGCAGCATTCGTCTTAGGAATCCTTTTACGAGTCCTTGCGGCGCCCAAAGCATGCCATAGGATGGAATCAGCAAATTGTGCTGTCGGATATCAAGCCACTGGCCCCATGCATTTCACACTTCTGGCGACCAGGCGATCAGCAAGTTCCGCTCCGTGCAGAGGAACTAATTTGGGTCATCTTCAAAATAGACGCGTTTGGTGAGCATCCAACCCTCATCCGTCGAGGCAAGATTTCCCCTCCAAGTAGTCGCTGTCGCGACTTGGGTGTTTTCGTGGCGAGTAATTGGAATGCAGGGACACCACTTCAATCCCCTGTTCTCTTGCTGCTTCCGCCTCGCCTCCAACCGCTCTTACCGTTGATCACCGGATCTGAATCCATCCCTCACCATGAATACCCAAGGCCTCCCGCTTGTAGATTCGTGTATGTAGCGACCTGTCCTAGGGTGCGTTTTGCAAGGTTGCGGCTGCCCTGACCCCTGTCCTCTGAGTAGCTGCACCATGCTGCCCCGTCCCATCATCCCGGCAAAGGTGCCCATGAGCTCTGGCTTTCTGAGCAACAATTTGGGGCCGTGAATGTGGTCTGAATGATTCTCGTATTTTAGCAGCCTCAGGAGCGTTGCTTCGTCCGCTTCCTGCCGGCAGGGAATCGTCAATCTTGGTCCTTTATCGTGGATCTGGAATTGAGTTTGGAATGGGGGGCCTGGGAACGTTGAACTTTTGGGTTTTTTAGGCCAGATCAGCAAGCTTTTCTCCCCCTTCTTTTCGCCAGAGGTAACAGACTTCTTCGTGGACTCAAGATCTGGGTTTCCGGTCACCGAAATTTCCTTTGACGGAATTATGCACAGAACTGGTCTGACGCCTGATGACCAGGCATAAAGAAGATCACAAGATATTCCGGAGTGACTACGCTGCGCATATTGCAAGCCCTGAGACCGGCTAAATCAGCTTACGTGGCTCCGTCTGAATTGAACATTTTCCATAATGCACGAATCACGGATGCAATCTGCACACAAATGACCGTGGATTCATCTGCCGGATAGACAGGTGCATTTGTATCTGCTCACCAAAATATGGGCCGGTATCTGACGCCTGAGCACGGGCAAACATCGAGCTGATGTATATCAAATATGCTCGGCTGGCCGGAAATGCCGTTTAGACAATATCAGGAGGTTGAGAGGCGCCTCGGGAGGTGTCCGTTGCGAAAGGTTCCTTTTGCTTCAATCAAAGCCAGAGGGGCGTTTGCGTGCTGCAGTTCGACAACGATAATCTTGATGATTTGGCAATGCGACCATAGGGACATGGAAATCTTTCAAAGATTATCAGTCTTGACTGGGAATTTCGACCGGGGAGACCCTTGCAAGGTTGTTTTGAATCGTCAAGAGACGTGAATGTCGGTTGTGCGGGCCCGTAATGAAGGCTGGTGATAGGGTGATTCCTAGAGTCTCTTTCGGCATAGAACAGTTGTCTATTATCGCCCGCGGGGGGGCGGGGTCGTTAGCCGGCAGTAATATTCAGACGAGACCTCACGGAGTCTTCAGCGCTTCAGGAGCTCGCTATGCACTCACAGCTCATTTGAGGATAGCTTCCTCTTTATGTTTCACTAATATCCAATGTTTGCTTTCATCTCTTGTCTTGAATTGCGCGCGACGGTAGCAAGGTCCCTGCAGTATACGGAAAGGAGGGACATGAGGTCTGCCTCGAAGTCTACGATGAAGTTCACAGCGCCGAAGTGCTTCTCTTCAATGCGGTGGGTACGGACATGATGACCTAGTGGCTCTGGGTACGAAGCTGCATGCTCCAGGGTTCAAGTCAGCTCTTCGTACCGGCTGGAGACATAGTCACCATCAGTGAATATATGAATATGGCACACTCAAAAGCCCGCAACCATAATTTGAGTAATTGTTACATTTTTAGCGGCTGATCAATCACTTGACTGAGCAATGTTACCTTCGGTCTACTCAAACTGCTTAGCAGTAAAGGCTTAGTCCCGGGCTTGACCGTCGTACTTGGAGACTCCTGGAATGGACGCGCATCTCATCCGGGCCTTCAGCAAGTATGCGCGTCGCGTATTACAGGCTACCAAGGTGCTTTGGAATGAGCAGATGCACGTTGGCCTCGAGCAAGAGACTCCACGGTAACAATGTCAAGGCCTGCGCCGAAGAAGACTCAATCTCGACAAGGAGATTCACCATCTTCTGGCTTTGCTCAGTGGCAATAATGTAACACGAGTCCAATAGTTGGGGCGGGGAGACGAGGTGTGTGCCGTTGTTGAATAGGTCTTTGAGGTGCAAGCTGACGCTGAACTTACCTGGGACACCAGGGCATCGAAATGATTGTAGAACGCCTTTCGCCTTCGCCTTAAGATGTGCGTGGGAGATCGAGTCGTCTGAAATCAGAAACCAGAGCCAGAGAAAGGCCGCAGTTGTGACACTTTCGTATGATGAGTGGACGAACGTACAGGTAGATGGGCTTGACAGAGGTCTTTTCGAGCCCTCGTGAGACCAGAAAGTCAAAACATTGTTGGCTGGAAGCGGCACGAAGTTTGACTCCTGATGTCCTGAAAATCATGAACCACATGAGAATCTCATGAGAATCTAGCCCTCGCCAAGAAGTGCCATCATAAAGTGGCGACTCACTCTGTTTTTCAAGTGCGACTGACTTCCTCACCTAGCTGCCCACCCTAAGGTTGTTGTCTTGAGCTGGTAAAATAAGTCCCGAGGTGAGCGTGGGGCGACTGGGGTGAGCGGGGTGAGCAGGCGGGCAAACCAACGGGCGGCCGCGCGGACCAGCAGGGCCCTATTGCGCTGTGCATGACGGAAGTCGGCCGGGCCCGGGCCCGAGGCCCAAACACCGGCCCGAACCCCGTCTTTACGTACACCTTTTGCAGGCGCGCCCACAGCGCTCGTAGCTAGATTAATCAAGCCATTTCACGCACGCTGTTACAATAATTGTTCTCTCATATATAACCTATTCATCCCTGACAATATCCCGTAGTATTCACAATACAGGTCGCCAAGGGCTTTATATCGTGCAAAGAAATTCCATTTGGGCTTCCGTTCTGTGCGCCTATGCCCCTTATCCATCAAGCTAGGGCAGTCTACAGGTATTTGGCCAGTGAAGTAATGTCACAATCTCCGTCTGAGTCAAAATCCTCGAACCGTCCCTCTAATCGTTTCTGGAACGTGTCGTTAGCTGTACAACTGCCATCCTTCTCCTCAGGAAGCGCCCAGCTTTATCTTGCAACAGTGCACCATTCAGAGGCTCCGGGTTTTGGCCGTAGCTTGGTCCAGTGATGACCTTCGAATCTCCGTTCGCTTCAAGGGCCGGGAAGAATTGGACTGAACGGTTGCGTGCGGAGCGTGGAAGGAAGATGGTTTCTTTGGGTACAATGATCTGGATTCGTCGAACGCCGTCCTTTTCTGCGCGAGACTCTTCCGGCATCAGTTTCAAAGGCTTCCTGTCGTCAAGGGCCACTCGATAGACGCGGAGATACGAGTTGCCCATGGTTACATAGAGGTGTGACGGTGTCCAGGTGAACGCGAACGGCAACGTTGACACTAAGGTGTTCACGGAGCACCCCAGCTCGATGCTCGCGCTGGAAACCATCTTTGGCGGACTCTTACTTGGTGCTGTCGAGGATAGCTGCAGGATAATGACGTGCAAATTCAAACAAATTATGGCCTTGGGGGATGTCGCATTAGCTGTACCAGCTTTTGAAGGAGGTTTTGGTGCGGCTCCAATGGTGGAAACCCGCAGGAAATCGCCACAAGGTGAGAAGGAAATGTTGACGCAAATTCCGCGAGCTGCCTCGCGATTCCACGGTCAGTTATCTCTACACACAAATTGGAAAAGAAGGATAAAAAACTCACATTTCTATCGTGCTGTCACCTTCTGCTCCAAAACAAAAGTTGTTCTGTTTGAAGTCGGCAAAGAGAAGGGCAGTGCCTGTTAAATGCCAAATAACCAAAGAGTGTTTCGGATGAATGACGGGAGGGGTCTCGTAAAGAAGACTGTTGTACTTCTTCCGTATGTGGAATGTGCGTTTTGCGGCATCTCCCAGACCAAGCTGAAAGACAGCTAGCTCATGGCGAATGATAAAGTTGTTCCTCGACACGGCTCCGACGGGGTTTCTGTTTATCATCCCGTAGAGGCGCTATACTCTAACGTCCAGGCGGGATTGCCTCCCCCTGCCGCTCATGCTAGTGCTTTCAAATCGGCAAAACGATGGGCGAGGTTGTTTAGGCAGAGCAGAAAACCTATGCCAAGCGAATCGTAAGAACTTACTTACCGGCGTAAACCCGTACGCCAGCCCCCAAATCTTAGGAGCAGTGAAGTAACCCCTACCCTAAATCATAGGATCAGTAAGGTAGCCGCGGTTCATATACCCTCGATCCTTGGAAAAGTGAGCAGTGCCTCTCAACCCTAGGAACGGTAAACTGTCCACGAGCCTGGATCCTAGGTTCAGGAAACTGAATCCCGTCAAAATGATACCAGCGTTGCCTGAAAGTATCCTTCGGGGCGCAGAGCAGTGCCAACCTCCCGCCGTGCAGCAAACGCACGGTCGCTGGGGCGCTTATTATAATAACGAACGTAATTGCTTAAGAGCGGTTAGCTGTGAAAGACACAGAATTGATATCTACCACGTACTTTCAATACACCAGAAGTGTTATCGCTGTGAATATTATTATGAGAAGAGAGCCCGTCACCAGCTAACTGTTTCTTGGATTCTTGCACCTTCACGACTTGCTGCGATGAACGTTGGCATTATAATGAAGACTACGTAAGAGGGGATCAGCTAGCCTCTTTGAATGAGTTTCGCACGCAGAAGCGAACAGTAATCACTTCACGACTTTGGCCGAATCGATGAATCCGTGCAAGTGCTTGCTCTTCTAAAGTCGGATTCCTGTAAAGTCAGATTTAGCCACAAAATAATGCGTGCACAAATACCGACTAATGTGGCTCTACCAAATACGCGTGTGACGACTGTTAGAGTGAGCCTAACTTTCATCAGCTTCAGATGTATTTATCAATATTACTCTGAGGTTCTTGCTCACCCAACAGCGCCGCATGGCAGAGTAAGAAGCATCACGCGGACATTGGGATCCGTCTCGAACCTTTCCACTACTGATTGACGATCCTTTTGGGGTATCGTTCCATCAAAGCGGATGCTTTAAATACACTACTGGTCCAGACCTGCCTTAATGAGGTCCAGTGTAAGCCTCCAAGAGGAGAAAACAACACTGCGAAAAGTCTGGTTCTAGGCGTGACAGGAAGCCGAAGATCAGCCGACGCACCACTTCTCCATTGAGGAGACGTTTCTGATGCCATGTGTGAGGTCTCTTATTTTCGAAGGAGGGTCGATAGCAGACGCTCCAAGTTGTGGAGCTGTGAAATTGCCAGTCTCCTCCAACGCAGAACCGCTTGTTGACACTGGAGCTGTTTGGCAAGGCGGAGTGTGACCGCATGATAGAACCCCTCCGATATGAACGATCTTGTCGACACGTTCATTGCAAGTGAACTTCAAACAGCTGCTGTACTGAGCCGTGCCCGTGCCGGGGTTCGCGTCATCAAGTAGAGTCTCTGTTAAGCCAAGAGCAGATGTGCAGTGCAGGCAAGTAATTGATGATATGCCTCGTTGCGAGTTGAGAATTGTCTGGGCAGTTTTGATCCATCCATCAGCTTCCACGTGCTTGCTTGCGCCCCTGTCGTCCCTTGACTCGTAGTAAAGTCCCAAGTTGCAAAACAACCTTAGCGACTCCATCTGTTGAAGAACATTGACATGACATCGTGACTGGTGTGTTCCAGTGTTATCCCCAAGGGCTTCATTGGTCCGTGCGGATGTTTGCTGTCTGATGCCCTCGTATACCAATCTTTCTTGTGGTGTGAACTCAACTGTATGCACCAAGTCTTGACGCGGAGGAAGATTGATGGTTGACTTGGATCTTCGAAGCAGTCAGCATGCTGAAAGGCGCTTCAGCCTCAACACGGCCTCCTTGTCCTCTCCGGATTTCCATAATTTCGAAATGTTGGTTCCGAACTGCTTGGAATCGGCATAAGGATAAACACCGACAAATCTAAGTAGGCTAGTGAGATCACCGAGGCGGTTTTGGATTGGGGTACCAGTTGCCGCCCATCTTGATATCGCCTCCAGCGCACACACCGCTCTGGCCCTTCTCGAGTTTACGTTCCGGATGTAATGACCTTTTCAGCTTATTACACTGGCCATGGTCTAGAACTGTGCATATTGATACTCACTCTCGTCCAAGATAATTCTCCGTCAGCGGACAGAGAATATTGTCGATTTTCGCCCACTCTTGCTTGCTTTCCACTCGGCAGCAACTCTATGGTACGTAGTAAGGACAATGGTCACGATTTTGAGCTCCTCCGTTCCGGCCAGCTTCGGTATCTCATGGTGACGGCGGCAAATCAAAGAGTCTGCTAGAGGATGGCTACAACCTGTTAGAAGGCAGCTACACAAGTGTGAATTTGTCGCTCACTCATAGAGCTGCCGTTACCACGTTCCTAAGACTGTGTATGGATGAGCAGGCACTCATCATTCTGATGTTGCGTAGGCATACTCGGGGGTGGAATGATCACCAGGGTTGCGGAAACATCTTGCTTTTCTGCTGGGGCATTTTCGTTATGAATGCTCACTCCTTCTCGGAATCCATGTCTGTGGCGACTAAGGAAATGATCGTCAAAGTTTTACCGAGGCCCATGAGATCCGCGATTATTCCACCATAGAATGATGGAGGTTCTCGGGACTGATACACGCGGGAAACAGTGTTCATGAACTTGCAAATGGTTAGATTATCTAAGCCATGGCTCTGGTACCAAAAGTGTGATGTGGTTGAAGAACGTCGTGCGATACTCACATTGTTCCACGGTCCATCTCGACAGTCTCCCAAACGTTTGGGTATTTCCTGTTGAACTCGCGGCCCTTTTCTCGGTTCAACATGAAAGTCAAGGCCTGCTTCTGGTGTCTAGGATCATACATTAGTATTTACATGCAAGAGGAACCAGCCGGGCTTCACAGGTGACGCACCGTTTCAAAATTGCGCGAATGGCAGATGGCCGCGGCGCTTCCTCCAATTCAACATGGCTGCTCAATGTGTCCAAGAAGTCGGAAGGCTCTGGGAGCTCTTTCGGAGTTAGTGTGAAGGATGAGGAGATGATATCCGAGACCATTGGACAAAATAGAATATCGTTAGACAATTATTTCTGCGGATTACAACATTTGGTGTCAAGTTAGCAGATTGCCGGGTCTTGCAAGTAGACTTCATAGTCTTGGAACCAACCGCCGGTGTCATCAAACAATTCAAAAGGGCCGTAAACAGAGATCTCGAGTGAACAAGCCAATGCAAGATGACCGCGCCCTTTCTTCTTGGCAACGCTATGCCGTTGATCGAGTATGCACCTAACCTGTAGGTTGAGTGACTTCTCTTCCAGAAGCCCCTCAATCATATGGCCATAATCATCCTGAATTTGACCCCGTAGTGTTCTGTAATTTTCAGAGCTAAAGCGGCTGGATGAGTCCAGACATACGGGAAAGTAGCTCGAAAGGTGTTCTTGACCACGCTGCTCGCATGTTCCTTTCAAGTCACAAATACGGAGTTGTCAGCGATGGCACTTATCGTTGAGACGCGTCTGGATTGTCTGCCTACCATCCCAAAGCAGACAATTTCGCTTTGTCCGGCCGTTGCAATCTCAAAAAGGTCGGATGGTATATCCCACTCGTCGGCTACCACTCCTTTGGTACTATAGGTCGCCAAGTCGCTGCCATCAACAGCCATGAGCTGCAATCCAGATGAAGATGAAAGTTCTGGTTCGAGCGCTTCGAACAGGCTCCGCTTTGAGGACTCATCAAGCCAGTCCTGATAGGCCTCTGCTAGGTCGCGATCGCAGAGCGAGGGCGGTTGAACCTGCGTTCGGTTTCATCATCATGATCTGAAACGGGACCCTCGTGCATTGCTAGTCATGTGATCCGAATCTCAGGACAGAGTACCCGAAGGAATACAAACGATGGTGCTGGGAAAACGACTCCGAAGAAACGTCATAGGGTGGTCATAATACTCAGACATGGGGCAGTGTTCGGTGGCTCGAGGAGAACTTCTTGCGTCTTCATGCATGCACGGCGGACTGCAATGGCTTAATACCAGGCCGCGACGACATAGATGCTGAGTCGGACGTACTTCTACAGATTGATCTGATCAAAAGTGATGCTTGGAAAGATGCCTTGTGCATAAGCATGGATTGGACGTGAAGCAGCCACTCAGCCTAGCGGGCTGCCCAATAAGTATTCCAGACTGTCACTCTTTCGGCAGTCTGCTAGCCGTAATACAGTAACAACCCACAAATGACATGCCTCTCAAATCTGCCGCGTCCGCCGCTGCTAGGCGAACTATCAAGACTGCTTTTGACCAACTTGAATAAACCATCCTTCCCGAGGATTCAGTGAGGCCGTAATTGGAAAGCCGGACTTTAAACAAGCACTCGCCGCTTTTTACGCCGATATACTTCAATTCCACAAACATGCGTACAGCTTTGTCCGTCGTGAAAGTAACTCACCTACTAAAATTTCCTCTGTCAAGTCGCTACTAATACTGATTGAACAAGAGGTTGGAGACTAATGTTCCTCACGTCTTGAGGCCGTTTCGGGAGACGTTTTGAGAACATCCTTGACGATATGAAACGCCATGAAGAGCTTGTAGATCTCCAAGCTGGTGCTCATGGCATCGCGGAGATTCGATAGACCCGCAAAGAGATCAAATCCTGGCGAGAAGAAAGTCTTGCACAGGTGCAAAAGTGTAACGACAAACAGGCCAACAAACAATATGAATCGATTATAACATGGTCAAAATCTGAAGAATCAGATCAGTCGGCTATTCTCAACACGATTTCAGCCGATGGGGCTAGGTTTGCTGGCACTTGCTCGTAGGCTTTGAAGAATGATAGGATCAAGTTTTGGCTCCAGAAGACCCCAGAGTCGCCCGTACTGTGGCTACAAGGCACACCGGGCTCGGGTAAGGGCGTCTTAGCCAGCCAAATTGTTAGATTTATGAGGAGTGCCAACATGTTACCCGTTCACCACTTTTGCACTCACAGGTACGCTTCTTCTACAACATATGAGCAAAAACTTCGCTCCATACTTCTTCAATTACTTTGCAAGGATGATGAGCTGATTGCATACGTGTACGGCGACTGCGTACTTAGGAAGAAGCCACCAACAGTTCAAGCTCTTGAGAGACTCATTTACGCCCCCTTCAATATTTCCTCTCGCCAGCCACGAGAGACAGAGTACATATGAATCATCATAGACGGCTTGTTTGCGTGCGAGCCACGGACGCAGGCTAGCATGTTGAGCCTTATTAACGAAATCACGAGGAAAACAATAGGAATAGGCGATACAATTTGCAAAGTAATGAGTTCAAGCCGAAACTCGTCACACATTGCCAATAGGTCGAATACGCAACATATAATGTTCCTCACGGAAGATAAGAGCAGTTTCAAGCTTGCTATTAGGCAATATGTGTCGCAGTGGTTGCGGTTAATGCATGAGAAGCTCTGGCAGCTTGAGCTTTCCAGGAAGGATATTAACAGCATCGAAAGCGTCATCACAAATAAGGCTGATGGTATGTTTCCCATACAGAAAGCTCATTATGGCCACGATTGTACTAACTTTCACGCCTGCAAGGCATGTTTCTGTATGCTCAACTTGTTCTTGATTACCTATCGAAGAACGTTTTCTTCGGCGGCAAGGAGATGAAAGCATCCATTGACGATATTCCGAAGGAGCTGTCCGAGTTGTAAATTCGATTGAAACGCACCATCTGTGAATTGTAGCCAAGTTCGTCCAGCTACAGGGAGGTACTTCTTCAGATACTCGTCCAGCTGAACCCATGGTCTGCTGATCGCATCAGGTGCATATTTGGATGGATCGCTTTTGCCAAACGACCTCTAAAGAGGATAGAATTCCACTCCGCCTTGATATTCAGCCCTGGCAGCTCGAACGTCACCAACCTAGTGCCACAATATGTTTTGGACATATGCGAAGCATTGGTAGAGGAGCGGCCGGACACAACGTTAACTTTCGTACACATCTCAGTCAAAGAGTACGTTCAGGCACAAACCGCGGATACCATCAATCATGTTTTACTAAAGAATGTCTCAGATTTCTTCAGTCATCGTCAAGAAGTTTTGTCATTGAAGAGACTGAAGTTGTGACAGAACACTGTCTTTCCACATCGGCTTGCCTTATGCCCAGCGTGTAGTAAAGGGCATACATGGTTTTCACGTCTATGCTACGGAGCTTTGGACAGAATAGCTGCTTTATTGTGTTTTTACTTGCTCATCCGGCGGCAGTTCATCAGTTTTCAAGCTTGCATCTGAATTAGCACAAAAGCTCTAGAAGCTCGTATGCGCTACTATTACTCAGCTCCTAGCTTCGCAGACCTATCCAATGGATGACAGGTTAAAGTTCTTGGAAGACCAGCCTCTACTGAAGGAACTTGTAGAAACTTCACCTGCCGATTGAGCTTTTGTCCACGCGCTACCACGGGGTTCATATCAGAAGAGTTACGCCGCCAGCATGAGGTCTCCCACACTCAACTATCTATATGCGACGTTCCAGAATGTACATATCCCCCATTTTTCTCTTTCAGGGCTCTCAAGCGCCACATCAACGAGTACCATCGCTCAGAACCGGCCCTCAGGCCGATACGGCGAGCAGGCCCTTCGAGACCTTCGATACCATTCCTCGATTCAGGTGCCTTCCTCGATTCAGGTGCCGAGTCCGCGTCACACGGCTCTCTCGCTCCAGAAGGGCTATTGGAATCTTCATACGATGATCCATCTGGGGATGATGACATCTTTTCGCTAGACAACCACAGAAGAAGGCTAGAATCAGACTTCTTTGGGAGACAAGCCAGGGTTTAGGAGACCAGATTGACCGAGTCATGACTGGGATCCTGAGATCTCAAACACCGACAGTTGCAGAAGGGATTCGATCGTAAGCGAGAGCAACAAATCAGATGGCATTGAGCAAGTCAAGCTCGACTCAATTGGGTTCCGCGTATGTTCTATGCCAAGCTGCGACATGAAGTTGAGCCCAACTGGCGAAGTGGAGCAGTACAGCCGGCACTGCCCGGAGTTCATGGAATACCACTACTGGAAGCGGCATCATGCTGAAAGCATGGCTCGCTGTGCACTCAAAGATTGCGATATGATGTTCAGTAGCAACAAGGGACTACAGGCGCACTACGAACAGAGGCAAAATATGGACGAGAAATCGCTGTCAATGACTTTTTCAATGGCAAAACGGGCGTCCCTTCAAGGACGAGCACAAGTGTAGTCCGATCAGTTGACCAAACTGACTGTTCCCCGCTCAAGTTCCCAGAGCTCTCATATCTCGAACTTTGCTACGTAGACTCCAAGCACTCAATCAGCCAGCAGGGTTCCCAACGTTCCAAGTTCACTGGCTAGTGGCGTAGGTAGAAATACAAACACGCCCAAACCTCAGCAGCCAACTGCTTCGTACCGTTTATGCAAGGGGAATAATGAATAAAACAGGTTGTTATCCATGCCTTAGGGAGAAATCGACATGTAATTAAACTGGTATATGTCTTTGTGGAATGCCACGATTGGATTCGGCTGGTATTTTTATGTTTATTCGACTAACATGGCCCCCACTTACGATGGACAGTTACATGTACCGACATTGACGTCAGTATTCGAATGAGCAAGGTTTTACACAAAGTACAAAGCCATCACCACTTCAATGAACGTCGATTCAAGATGGCAAAGGATCAATAATACCCAAGGCAGGACGTCTGGGCAGCTCTGTTATGCGACATACCAGATGAGAGAGGCAGTAGCTGTATGATCATGGTGGCCATCATATGTTTTGCGATGACTTTGAGACTTAGAATATGGTTAACAGACCTTCAGTCGCTGGAGGATCCAAAGGCCTCGTGGTCACTAAGCGCATTGCGCCATTTCAGCATTCTTAGAATCCGTTCACAAATATATTCAGACATCTTGGAAGGCTGCCTTTGTGATAACAACCCAGCCTGACGTCGTCAGTCTTGATGGAGATCTCACACCTCGTTCTATAGGACACGATGCATGTTTCCCTTCACGCTGTTTATCTTGAACTGACTACGGTGTGTTTATTTTCTTGAAATAGCTGGCTCCTCTCGAGGAATCTTTCTGTGGACCGCGGAGCTCCGCTCTTCACGCTGAGACTTGTGGGGGGGGGGGGGGGGGGGGGGNGGGGGGGGGAATTTATAGAACTTCAGCGTTTCACAATACGCGCACGGCTGGCTACGTGGGTCTCCTGGAGCTTAACATTGCGAAGGAGATACGAACCATTGATCTGGGGTGCAAAATAGGTGTGTCATGAATTTGATACTTCCGCCTTCCTTCTGCGTTCCGTTTCGATTTCGACATGACGTTCTCACTCTCCTCCGAGTCCTTTTGGTCCCAGCAGTGCATGGCGGGCCAGGGATGCCCGAGATGATGGCAGAATTCCTGTGATGGGCAGGCAAGCGGACGATCTATACAGCTGACATAGTTGGCTCGGCAGGACGGAGAAAAAGCATGAACGTTAAATATATCAGTTAACTGCGTGGGCTACAAACTACAGGGCCGAGTACGATTTGCTCGAATATCCAGGTGACTAGCATCCACGTGCTGCCAGTTTCAATCGGCAGACAGAGTTTGATGAGGCACCTAGCCGCTTGAATGCCATCTGTCCCTCTATAGCGAGGTGTTCCGCTGGATTGAGGTCGTTCGCATGCGCGCACTGGTCACATGGGATCTAATGACCCGGGAGTTGTGAATAAGGTTCGCCATGTTCATGCCCGCACTAATCGCAGTAATTATCGCGGGAATGACTTGGCCGGACTGCCGATCTGAGATTGTTACCAACCCGCGAAGAACAGGTCAATAAACGTGACATGCAGCATCATCCTGCAAATTCTTGTTCGGGGGCTTGGGCATGTGGACTGCGGTTGAACTGACGCTAGCGAAACTGAAATCGGAATGGGTTCACTGCTATTGGAGGAGGATGCACCAAGCTGTAAGAGGTTGGATAAGAGGTATCGTGGCTTTGAAGAGCATGACATCCATCATGGGTTTTGTTTAACAGGTTCAAGGTTCCTTCGGGGGAGGTTGTGTGTAGGCCCCTGGTGACAGTTTGTTGAGGCTCCTGATAAGACTTGCGACTTCATTGATTTTGCCCTGGATAATTTGGCTGTGTTTCATTTTGCCGTCAACCTAGTGCCTTGCAGACTTGGTGGCCTGCACACCGTACGCAGTCTCTCTGCAACTTGATCTGGGCCAGCCGAAAGTCTCTCCATGTTGCGTTAGAGGCCTTTGTTCAAAGCGTGTGTTCGACGTGTCCCTGGTCGAACGTTTGGCCGCTGATGTATTTTCCCTCCGTCCTTGAGCCTTCCTGACTCCAACTTTGCTATGTAGGGCTGTGGATTCCAGCAGGTTCTTAACTGTATGATTGTTCGAGCTTTGGCATAATAGCATGATGTGACACAACGACCGGACCGAAGGAATGCGATCGGTCTGTGAAGGTGCGCATCTAGTCATATCCAATTGGTGTTGAAGATCCAAGATCTGGTTTGTTGCTGTCGTGCGGGAGAGCAGTGACGCTGCTCGCCTCCACGGCGAATAGGAGGTCCTGGATCTCTTGGGGGGTGGAGCACGCAACCGGGCAGAGCGCTGAAGCCATTCAGCGAGGGCGTCGCGGACTGGCTGGAAGGTGCAGGAATGCTACGCTATGCAGGGGGCTAATAAAAGCTCCTTGGAGGGAGAAGAGGATCAGAAATTCTATTATGGAGTTGAGCGGGAAGTAAATACTTACTATGGACTGTAGATACTCGCAGACTATCGTTGGCTTTTGGTTGTGGACGATAGGGCAATCCTATTAACGCTAACTCAAGATAGACAGACTGATTTGCAATCTATGTGGGCAGCTTTCTTTGGGGTAATTGCGCTGCATCAGCATGGGTGGTCAACTGTTCTGATGAAAGATGCCGCTTGGCACTTTCTGACGTTGTTCCTGATAATTAAGCGAAGACCTGGCAGACCATGGCGGCGCGTTCGAGTCCCCGAACCAGCGCACGTCAACGTGCTAGTCAGTTACCTCTGCGGTTCAATATCATTGTCACGGGGTTTTATTTCAATACCATCGAGCGAGCTAAGCAACTCAAAACGTCCTGAGGAAGTTGCGGCAGTAGCTAGTTAACTATTAGGCTATCGCACCAGCTTCGGCTTGCACAACCTGTCCACCATGTCGGAGTCGCCGTCCACAATTATCATCCCAGCGCCCTCCCTTTCGATAGATTGCCCTTCAGCTGCTTGGCAGAAGACACCGCGGGGCAACATGCCCTTGAGTCGCTCTAAATGCGCGCTGTTCCCTTCGGGGTTCCATGTTGTGCACAGCGACCGCTCTTGACATTGGTTGGAGGAGGGGGGGGCGGGTGATGCTTTCAAGGCCGACAGCTGGAAGAAATCGTCTTTCTTAATCGATGTCTCGTTGTGGCTAGAATCCGTATGGAGGTGATGATGATCTTGAGCCCGCCTTCACATATTCAGTGGCAGCTGAGGGGGAGCAGCCTTTCATTTAGTTTATAGCATCAAGGTAAGCCCTGGCTGATCTTGGACTTTCCATGTGGATAACATACCTCTGTATCTTCCGAATCTCATATGCGACCTTTTGGGGAATAGTCTTCTCGCTGGGCGGTGGAGAGGTGCGGCGAAGCCTTGCGTGCACCGCGTGGAAGAACTCCGAAACGCCCTGGTGGGCCGGCCATTGATCGGCCTTGGAGGGTGTGTTGTGCCTGTTGGTCAGATTTAGCTGAGGTAGGCGGTTGAAAAATGGGTAGGTGGTAAAGAATCAGCAGGTAGTTGAATCGGTCGTAGTAGAAGTCGGTATGAGGTTAAGAAATTAACAAGAGGTCGAGGCATTGGAGGAATAATGGTGGAAAGTAAAGTGGGCCATTGTACACCCACCGGAGCGTAATGGCCCACTTGTTTTCGTCCAACTGCACTAACAGAAAGCTCGAGGATGGGTACGCTACATACGGCCTGAGAACTCACACACACTGATGAGGCTATAACATTGTGTTAACGGGCCCTGCCACTCGGCTGCCACTCCTGTGGCCTGCTAGCGAGTGCTAGAGGCTGCTATACAGCCCTCTCTAGCGCCCTAGTGTCTAGCTAGTTCTTCTCTATAGTATATTATAGTTATTACTACGTTCTCAGGTTATAAGTTTAGCCTTATTAAATTAACCCTAAAAACGTTAATTTTAAGGTCCTTTTAACTACTCTAAGTTTATAATAATCCCCTTAATTATCTCTATTATTTTACTATTCTTTTTATATATAGATTAGCTAATTTTATTATTAATTACCTTATCTATTTACTTTCCTAACCCTTAATATACCCTAATATACTATAGTAGAGATCTTATTATATTCACCTTTAATTAAGTATATATAGGTAAGCTTACTACTTTATAAGTTAAACTCCTCTTAATAAACGCCTTATATTATTAATTTCTCTTATTATAACCTCTTATCCCTCTTATCTTATTACTATAGGTAAGCTATTATTATAACTAGCGCTACTATAAAAATAACCCCTATTAATATACTAAAGCTATATAGTAAGTCTAATTAGATAACCTAAAAGGTCTCTATTAATACTATACTTTAAGCTACCTAAATTAATAACTATATTATTAAGAATATTCCTAAGCTTAATATAGAAGTAAAAAAAGAGGCTTAAGTAGCTAATTAAAATATTACCTATAATATCCTCATTATAATTATAAAGAGCCTTATTAATAAGCTCTTTAATATAAACTAAGAGGATAATAGTAACCTATATAAGTTAATAGAAGCTTTAAAGAAATATATCT